ATGTGAATGTGAGTGTGTGTTTGTGTGAGTGAGAGTGTGTGTGTTTATGTGAGTGTGAATGTGAGTGTGTTTGTGCGAGTTTATGTGAGTGTGTTTGTGCGAGTTTATGTGAGTGTGTGTGTTTATGTGAATGTGAGAGTGTGTGTGTGTGTGAGTGAGAGTGAGTGTGTGTGTGTGTGTTCACTACTGCATGCACTTGGATGGGTGAAATGCAGAGCACAAACTCCGAGTATGGGACACCACACTTGGCCACTCGTCACTTCACTTTCACTTTACAGTACATTTTGCTATTTTCACTTGTTTGGACACTGTACTGATACTTAAACTGATATTTTAGTATATTGAAGTTGAACATTTTGGCAGTGTATGTGTTGGCAATGAAATTAGTTACATTATTTGTAGCTGAATAAATATTCAATGTCTTCATCTTACTTGACTTAATGTCGTCAAAACTAGCGTTGGATACCAGAGGCATTTTCACATTTCATGTTGCACTGTTTGCGGTGTAGAGCTTCTCCACAGTTTCATCTGCAGATTTAAATGTGCTAGGCCTTTAAATTCTAATCACCCTGCTCATGACTGAATGGCTTCAGTAACATATTTAACTCACACAGTGAAGATTATGTAGTTTATTTAGTTTTTGACGACATGATTCAGTTTAGCATTTGTCTTATTTCTGTGGTTCTTTAATTACTTATGACATTTTTACTTAAGCTAGGTTTGCTGTGGTATTGGAATATGCAATATGCATATTGTGCTAGCCTGAAGGCCCACTTGTAGACACTGTGAGAAAGAGACACAAATTCCACTGACCCTTGTTTCTGGATGATGAAATATAGCTTTTCTTTTATTCTTTAGATGGAGCCTATGGATAAAAATCATATCAACAAATCTGAACCTTTGAGCTTCAATGAAAAGCACATGGCAGTGAGAAGTGTGTAATATAGAGTTGTTTCTTCCACCCCCCTGTCCACAGACTGGACACTCACGCGGGTCGCCAGATTGAGGACATGCTTCAGCAATGAGCGTAATTGGCAATGGAAGGTGATGAGTTTTAAGTCAGTGAGTTCGTTTATCTACATTTTAATATTCCTCTGGTCATAGAGATTTTTAGATGGATGCAGAGGTTTTTTAGGTCGAGAAGAATCTGCAATCTCTGACCCAGTTCGTTTGCTGGCTTCCATGGCTACAGTACACCATTTACTGTGTCAACTTGGCAAGCCGGGGTGTCGAAATACTATTGGGTAAACAGAAAGTGGGCGGAGTCACAGACCAAAACAAAAACAGACATTCTGACACGGAACGCATATTTCAAAATAGAATAAATGGCTGTAGCATTGTTTTTCAGAGAAACGTGTGTGTGAACTTAGCATGTTTCCTAAATATCCACAGACAAAATTATGGTATTGTTATGCTTTAGTTCAGTCCCAAAAAAAAAAAAAAACATACGGCACCTTTAAAAGAAATAAACTTGGACTCAAAAGTTACCTGAAAGTAAAAAGCAGACCTTAAAAAGAACCGACCACCCTAAATTTTAGTTACCCTCAGACCATCAAAGATACAGAAGATTTTTTTCCATAATCCACAATAACGCTTCCTCCAGTGGAAAATTTCTCTCCTGATTTAGACGAGATGACAGTTTAAAGTTAAAAAACAACTTAATTTTTTCTTACAAACATGCAGCTTTTGTCTTCTCCAGATGTTAACTGATGGACTGGAGTGCTGTGGATTACTTGTGGATTATTGTTATGTTTTTATCAGCTGTTTGGACTCTCATTCTGACGGCACCCATTCACTGCAGAGCATCCATTGCTGAGACACTGATGCAGTGCTACATTTCTACAAGCCTGATGAAGAAACAAACTCAACTACATCTTGGATAACCTGAGGTTGAGTAAATTAAGCAAATTTAAATTTGTGGGTGACCTATTACAACTTTCAGCCATGCATGAGAATCAGTCAGCATTTGATTCCCAAGATCATGACAGCTGTGGAAAACATTTCATGCTGACTCTGTGCCTGATTTAATGGTCTGTGTAAATGCACAGTGTTCAGTGCCATGTTTGCAATGTAAAGACAACTCTAGTTGTCGAAATCTGACAACCAAATACAACATTTCATTGAACCAAATTTTTTTGTCCTGCACTATTTTGCACACTGGGCCCATCTCACTTAATAGATCAGTTTGACTCAATTTGTGACTCAGTTTGACTCAATTGTCAGTTAATGTCAACATGAAACACCACTGGAAACACCATCATGTGACATATTCCATCAACCGTTTACAAACATTTTTTTGAAAAAAAAAAAACGTTTATTTCCCAATATTGATGTTGCGTAATCATCTGTGTATTTGATTGAGTGTATTCCATTTGTTATTTGAGTTAAAGATGTTAAAGGGATAGTTCACACAGAAATGAAAACCGTCATCATTTACTCACCCTCAAGTTGTTCCAAACCTGCATGAATTCCTTTCTTCTGTTGAACACAAAAGGTGACATTTTGAAGAATGTGGCTGGGCAAACAGCTGGGGACCAGAAACTCTTTGGATTCCCACATTCTTCAAAATCATTTCTGGGTGAACTATCCCTTTAAAGCCTTAAAACCCACATTGTATTGCAAATGTCAGCCTGCACAGACTCCTCCTCCTCATGTCTGCAGTTTGACTGTTCCTCCTTCGGCTGCATAAGATAACACATTATTATAATTTCTTGGGTACAGAAAGAGTCGGAGAGTACAATTTCTTTTCTCAGTTAACGAAACTCTTAACATTACCATGTGTGTTGTCAGATTAACCATATTTGGTTTAAGAATGTGCATGTAACGCACTCACAGAGAGAGATGTGTCTGTGAGGAGAGTACAGGATACATACTGGGTTTGTACTCTGGAGCAGGACTGGATGGTGTGGCTGATTGTACGGGCTCAATGACTGTAGCGGAGCACACTGACTCTTCATCCAGTTCTTGCTTGCTCACACGCTCCTCCTGTGCCGGCGTCTTATTGATCTTCACCTTGAAAAGCTTTGCAAGAAATGATCGTTTCTCGCTCTGAAATGTGAAAGCATAAGAGTGAACTAAGTACACAGCTACAGTAACAAACACTGAATTGATCCAAAATGTGTTTTGATTCCACAACCTAATCAGTGTTTTATTTCATGCTGTTTATTTTTTACATTTAAATGTATGACATTTTCTTGCTAATGACCTGATGACTGACACACTGCACTATTCATATATATTTATAAAAGAGGAGCATGCCAAGGCAAGCATGGCTGAGATTGGTTGTCCACTCTTTCGTGGAGATAATCTGCGCTGTTCAGATGTGTGTAGCTCCAGCAAACCATTCGCACAATCGCTGCGCTTACAAGCTCAAAGCAGATCTGCGGTGTGGTGTTTGCAGTAAAGTTAGGTGCATTTCACTTCGGTCACGCTGCGTGACCGTGCATGACAGCTTGCAGTTTATTCTGCATTTGCTACTCTTAGCTTTCAGAAAAAGTAAAGTACATTATTGTTATAAATGTTTTCAAGTCGGTCAATATTCACACACACAATGGCATTCAGTAGAGTCTGTAAAGCCTCCTGTAAATCTGTTATTCAAAGTCTGATTTAAAACCTTTAAGCTAAAACACATTAAAAAAAATTTCGATTTGGGGTGGGAATCACAGGGTACCTCACGGTACGATACATGGCTCACGATACCGATAATATCACGATACAGCAATTCTGCGATAATCGATATATTGCTAGACAATCCTATAATTATACATCACGATATCGGTCTAACTATGAAAACTAAATGCCTTTGAAAAGGTTAAGTGCATGTTCTCTCTCTTCATTCAAGTCCAAACTGCTGAAAAGTCTGCAAAAAGTCTGCAAAAATGAATATTCTCTCATTTACTCACTCTCAAGTTGTTTTAAACCTGAATGAGATTCTTTCTTCTGTTGAATATAAAAGTTATTTTGAAGAATGTGGGTAATCAAACAGTTGCTGGTCCCCAGTGACTTCCATAGCATTTTTCCTCCTCCTATCAAAGTTAATGGGGACCAGCAACTGTTTCAGGGTTTTTCCTGCATTGAAATGGTTTTGGTGGCCGAAGCCTTTTTTGATCGGTTAATGTGATTTATGAGTGCTGTAAATGACTGCTGCACTTGTGATAGCGCTAATGTTAACGGAGGGAGAGAAAGAGCAGAAAGCCCCTTAAAAAACCCTGATCTGTCCAACACTGAAGACCATCTCAGACCCAGGAAAAACCCTGTGTTTGGTTACCCAAAATATCTTCTTTTGCGTTCAGCACAAGAAAGAAATTAATACAGGTTTGGGACAACATGAGAGTGAGTAAATAATGACAGAATTAAAATTTTTGGGTGAGCTATCCTTTTAATGACAAGCGGCAGCATGTTTAGTACAATTAGTCTGCGGTCACTTTAAGAGCTGCAGGCATCTGATATACGGTTTACTTTCACTTTAGACATAGCCAACTGTGTTTATATGTAAACCTTGTATGTTTTTGACAGTATTGGTGCATTGAGACGTGAAAGATAACTCAGTTCAGTAATCAGGGGCTGTTTGTGAGGTTTTTTAGTGTGTGCACTCTTTTCATGTGTATGCGCTCAGAGAAAGGGCATGTCAGAACAGCACATGAATGAAATGTTTAACCGGCAAGCTTTAAAGCACATGCAAATAATGCAGTTCTTGCATACAGTGTACTCTGTCGATTTTGTTTGTCCCATCGATGGTATAAAAGCCGAAGTGGGTCCAGGCATCTATTAATTCACTCACACTGCTGTCTGCCATCCCATTAAAAACCTCTTTTTCTTAGGCTAGTTAACTTATGTTCACGCTTCCCTCATTCGTGTGTTGAGCAACACCTTGAGAAGCCATGAAGTAGCAACACTGCAAGCAGGGAAATCTATTTAGAGAGCCTTATCTTAATTAAAATATCGATATTTGGTGCCAGTGTATCGATTCTCGTATCGCATGGGAGATATACTTCCATATCGATATTTTGTCCCACTCCTAATTTACATGATATAATCAAAGAAATAAGTTTGATTAATCATGTTACATTCAAGAAATTGTTAACCCTTTTTAGTTCACATAAAAATGGAGTTATGTTACAAAATTTCACTCTTCACCGGGGAACCAGACAAAGAAGTGCACTCTCACCTTTATTTTCCATTTGCATACAACCACTTGCTGCAGCAATACAGCAAAACAATAGAATTAAAGAAATGCAAGATATCGAAACAAAACGTCTCTATTATTATGTTGAATGGACACCTTACAATTCACTACATCAAATCTTCAAAATGATTAATATACTCTCAAAAATTTCAGATTACACAAACTGCAATAAATCAATTTGCAACTGATCTCCCGAACCCCCTGCTGAACTTGTGTCTGAGCACTGAAATATACACAGGATTATTCAATAAATCCAACTCATTTTTATCATCACATTGTCTCCTGCTTTCCTGCTAATTCACGGCTTCCTCTGTCAACCTCTCAGCAATACCTGATAAAACTAGGGCTCCAGACAAAAAAAATTAAGGAGCCACTGGCTCCAATAAGAAACAAAAACAGGCGATAAATTACTTTAAAGGTAGGGTATGTATTTTTTCAAAAACGCTTTATGCTAAGTTCACACTACAGGATTTTAAGCCCGATTTGCAAGTTACCGAGCTCGCCGACAGGTCAGGCTGTGATCGA